TTTCTTATAGTGTTTTTTTTTTTTTTTTTATATAGATTGATTTTTCTCTTACGACTAAAGTAGAGAAAGAAGGTTCATGCATAATAAAACTCACTTTCTCCAATTATCTCTTATAGTAGACATTGGTTGAGGATCATCTTTACTACAATAATTTAGCTTTGTCGCTTGAGTATGAAGAAACAAGCCGACCAATATAGAGGATGCAAAATAAAATTCGACCAATAAAAATTATACAACTGCTATCGGAAAATAATTATCTTCTAAATCCATCAATTATATTTTTTAAAAACATAACTTCTATAGAGTTTGAAAGTTGTTGGAAGAAACTTTTTTTAAGGAAAGTGCACAAAACAAGGTTTTCGTGATCAAAGACCTTGTAAGCTTGAAGTATAAAGAAGTTGAAGATGTTATAGTGCACTTAAATAACTTTCAAGGATTTTTAAATTAGTTGTTATTGATGAACTTTGAGTTTGTTGATGAGATATAACCACTAATCCTATGTAGTTCACTTGTCGGATAGTTAGAAGACTTTGATGGTGTCACTTAGCAACTCTACTCTAAATAGAAAGCTTACTTTAAAGATAGGAAAAGATAATATTCATAATGAAGAGAAAAAGGAGAAAGGGTCAAGCACTTTAAAGTCTCATGTACTTATTAAAAAAAAATTGAGAGAGAAGTCGTAATATATTTTCTCATGGTAAATAGAATAAAGAATTTATTGAAAGAAAAGGCAAAATGAAGTTTAGAGAGAGATCTCAGTCAAAGAATGGACTAAGGAATTTTGTATTGTGATAGGTCTAGACATATCCAAAGGGATTGTAGATAGTACAAGAGAGATTAAAGGGATAAATCCAAAGGCAATAATGAAAAAAATAGTAAAACTATAGTTATTTATGATGGTGATGGTGTCATTATTTATAATGATATTGTCAAGATACCACATAGAGTTGCTTCTTATCATGTTATGGGTATTAGAGATATTTGGTTAAAAACTAATACCATATGTAAGTTATTACTTAAGGACGGTAGGTATGTGCTTGATATACGTTTACACTTGATTTTTACAAGCATATTTGAAGAAGAAAGCTATCGTAATTACTTTGAACATGGTAAATAAAAGCTCTTAAAGGTTCTTTGACTATTGTTAAAAGAAAAAAAAAAAGATGAGTTTTTACATTTCGAAACCAAGGTGATTAAAGAGGAGGTGAATGAAATTGAAGGTGCCTCCATTGATATATGGCATAGGCGAGTTTGGACATTAAAGTGAAAAATGTCTTAGTATCCATACCAAAAGAACCTTCATTCTTTAAAAAAGTATGAACTTGAAAACTTGCACTCATTATTTAGTTGGTAAAAAACATAGAGTGATATTTCATAGATCATCTTTACATAAAAGATCTCATGTCTTTTTCTTTATTCATATTGATGTTTCCTCTATGATTGATAAGTTTTTTGGATTTTTTTTTGTACTTTATTAGTTTTATTAGTGATTATTCCAGGAAAATTAGGCCATTTATTTGAAATTTAACGATATTGTGCTTGATATTTTTAATGATTTTCATGCCATATTTGAAGAAAAAGTAGCGAGAAAGTTGAAATGTTTTCGAGCACACAATAAAGGTGAATATAAAAGTCTATCTAAGAAGTATTACAAGGTGCATGGCATTAAGCTTGAGAAGAAAGTTTTGAAGACTCCACAATAGAATGTACAAGCGAAAGAATAAACAAAAATATTATTGAAAGAATAATGTCGATGAACCTCTCATTCAAAGTTATCTAAGTCCTTTTGGGGTAAGGTAATGACGATTGCAATTGCCATGATTAGCCTCTCGTTTATAAGTTCTTGAATTTAATGTTTCGAAAAGAGTATGAAAGGGGAAAAATGTTTCTTATGCACACTTAAAAGTTGCATTTGTACATATTTCTAGAGATAAAAGGTCTAAATTTGATAGTAAAATAAAATAATATATTTTTCTACGTTATAAAGATGATGAGTTTGGGTACATACTATGGGATCTAAAAGAGAAGAAAACTATTCTAAGCAGAGATGTTATTTTCTTTAAAGATCGGACTATTGAAGATTTTTAGCAAAACAAGAAAGTAGATTCCTCCAATTCTACTCTTACTAGTTTGGATCCAAGACATACTCCACAATTACTTTTGATGCCTTTAAATCATAGAAGAAATTTAGAGAATGATGATGGTGGTAGTTTGCCTTTTGAACTATTAATTAATGATCCTAAGTCAACTAATTATGATAATATCATTATTGATCCGAACAGATTGTTCAAGAGGCACCGAGATGAGCCACGATTGAGGAGGTCTACTAGAACTCATAATCTTTACCAAATATCATCCTTATGAGTTTATGTTGATTATTGATGAAGGAGAGCTAGAATGCTTTGATGAAGTTATATCACTTGAGAAGAAAATAGAATGGTTGAAAACCATACAAAACAAGATAAAATCCTTACATGAAAACTATTTTTTTGAGTTAGTGAAGCTTTCTAAAGGTAAGAGAAAACTAAAAAATAAATAGGTTTTAGATAGAAAACTGAAAAAAAAAAAACCGCTTACAACTAAGGTATAAGACAAGATTAACTATAAAAGGGTTTCAGTAAGAAGAAGGATATTGATTTTAAAGAAAACTTTCCACTCGTAGTTAAAATGTCTTTAATTTAAGTTGTTCTTAGTTTAACAACTAGTTTAAATCCTCAAGTTGAATAGTTTGTTGTAAAAAATAATTTCTTTTATGGTGACTCGACATGAACAAATCTACATAGAACAACCTAAAGGGTTTGAAGCGAAAGACAAAGAACAACTAGTTTGCAAGCTAAAAAAATAGTTTGCATGAGTTAAAACAAGCTCTAAGACAATGGTATAAAAATTTTAACTTCTTCATGATGAAGCATGGTTATGGTAGAACCATTTCTAATCATTGTATGTTTATAAAGAAATTTGATGATGACAACGTCATTATTCTCTTTCTATACATGGATTATATGCTAATTGTTGGCCATAATGCTAGGAAGACTTAAAGTTTGAAGAAAGAGTTGAGCAAGTCTTTTTTAATGAAAGACTTGGAACCTATAAAACAAATTCTTGGCATAAAGATTAAATAATTAATAGAAATTTTGGCTATCTTAGGAGAGATATGTTCTAAAATTCCTTGAAAGGTTTAGCATGGACAAGTCCAAACCTATTTGTTCTCCACTTGTAAGTTACTTTAATCTAAGTTTTAAATAGTTCAATTTAAGTGATGAAGAAAAAAATAAGTTGAAGAAGGTTCCTTATGCAACTATAGTTAGTAACTTAATGTATGTCATGTTTTGCACAAGGCTAGATATAAACAATATAGTTGGTGTTGTGAGTCGGTTCCTTTCTAATTTTAGTGAAGAGCATTGATCAATAGTGAAATGAATACTTAGATATCATAGAGACACTTCTCGTTACGGCTTATGCTTTGGTAACACTAAACTTATGTTAGATGGGTACATAGATATAAATATGACTAGTGATATTAATTCTCAAAAGTCTACATTATGATACTTGATGGGTTTCATATAGAGAGTAGATTATGGCGATCGAGATTGTAGAAATATGGCCCTATATCCATTACATATGGTGAATACATTGCTCTTACTAAAAAAGGTAAAAAGTTGTTATGAATGAAAAATTCTTACATGAACTTAGCCTAGAGCAAAAGAACTTTATGCTACATTGTGATAGTCAAAGTGTAATCCATCTCATTAAGCATCCTACTTTTTATTCTCAATTGAAACACATTGAGGTTGGATATTAATAGATTTGAGATGTTATGGAGTTAAATTCTTTTATTAATAAAAAGATACATACCGATAAAAATAGGTCAAATATGATGACTAAGCTTTTATCAAAAGAGAAGTTTAAGTTACGAAAAGACAAGTAGGTTTGGTGGAGCCCTCTAAATTATTTGGAAAGGAAAGAATTATTAGGTTGAATCACTTCTCATATAGAGTCCAAAACCCTTATAGTATACAAAATAAGAAAAAGAAGTGTATATATCTATAAGGAGACCGAATAGGAATGGGAAAAGAAGGTCATGTAAGTGACTTGTTCGTATGTAAGCCAAACTTTGGCTTATATAGCGACGACCAACTATTTTGCTAACAATGGCGAAGCAACAAAAAAGCAAGGAAATTTTGCCATGTCTAGAGAAAGATAAAAAAGTCGCTTATCTTTATTACGTTAATCAAACAATGATTTCAAACTCGATTGAGATGAAATTTTAATATGTTGTTCCTAATGATGAGCTCTTTGACTTGAGTGGTGGTTGAGAAGTTCCACCTCTAGGTATTTTCTAAAAACTTATTTGGTGAGATGTAACTCTTTTATTATTATTATTATTCATCTTTGTGATGATGAATTTGATGTTTTGATATGTATTCTCAAGTTGAGCATAGGAAATAATTATATATTTTATTATTTAATATATTAAAAAAGTTTGAGTGGACTTTGTGTTAGAAAGTAATATAAAACTATTTCGATACCTCACCCGAGAGCTTAAGTTTTTGAGTTGCAATGGTTCTTTGACATGATATCAAAGCCTTGATGACTAAGCGGTTACGAGTCCGAAACTCATCGCTCCTTTCTCTTCTAATTAAGCACAAGATAATGATAGGTCTATGTAGTTTAAAGTCCAAAAAGAAGAACGTGTGAGAAAGTAATATAAAACTATTTTTAAAACCTTACTCAATAGCTGAAACTTTTAGGTTGAGATAGTTCTTTGACACTCGCGGTCTCGTAATTTTTTTCCCCATTTTTTTATTTTAAAAAAAATTCTTATGTTGATTGTGATTGTGTTTATTTATTCTGCATTAATTAATTATTGATTAATTCTAGTTTTAATTGTTAAAAAAAAGAAAAAAGAAAAAAAGAACTCATACTTGTGGTTTGTGATTTTATTTTATAAGTGTTTTTTTCCTAACATGTTTCAGTGCTAAGAACCTAGAAGTTATTCATTATGTGATCCACACTATCAAACAAGAAGTCACGTTAGAGTCAGATAAAGCTACGTACCATAGTGCAAGCGCATAAGATGAGAAGATAAAGAATTGGCATACGCCATAGAATATTCCTGCAATCTGACCACGAAGAAATGCGTGGTTGGAAGGTTCCACGAGCCCTTGAGCATAAAGATCAAGGATCTTCTCTTCAGCAGAAAATGCTGCAACAGTGCGGATGTTACTTACAGCCTCTCCAATCAGCATGTTAGCCTTTAAATATGCTTTGCTCAAGTTGCCACCAAACCCTTGCATAAAGAGTTTCTGAATTTATAAGAAGGATTAACATTAGATTGTTGACCAAAAAAAATCTCGTGTACATAATGCGGGAAAGAAAGGAGACCTCGCTGATGTGACCACTGATCAGAAGTGGATATGTGGCTATGACAACGAGTGTGATCCTCCAGTTTAAGATGAAAGCAATGATAAATGAGGTGACAACCAGACCAACGTTGTGTAAGAGAATTGTTGTGCGATCAACGACTATGGTTTGCAACAAAGTTGCTTCACTCTGTAGACGTCCTGTGAGCATTGAACTGGTATTGCTCAAGTCATCAAACCATCCAATCTCGTTCCTCAAAATGGCTGTAACCAAGCAGACCATAGAAGTTGAGTTAATGAAAAACTATAGAAAGTTCGTTTTGTAAAGGAAAGAAAACAACTTTAACCTTCGATGTCCCTTTTTTTTTTTTTTTTTTTTTGGGGGGGGTATGAATTACAAGACCATCGATGGCAGCATAGATCACGGATTATAAAAAAGAATAACTATACAGATAAACCAACAGCATTTTAAATCCTAGTAGTCTTGTGCATTCTCCAAATTAAAGGACATCTTAAGAAATTTGTCTAAAACAGAAATATGTAAATGCTTTGGAAAACAAAGATAAAAACCACATATTTACCGGAAAACATAATTTCTCTCACACGAAGAGTAAGTCGCTCTCCCATGATTCCAAAACACAAATGCATAATGGCATAGGCAAAAATGCTAATTACCGCACCACAGCAAAATAGTATTGAAATCTTTCTGATCTCTAGACAGGTTGTGTGCCAGTCCATGTAATAGGCTACGAGAGATTGGGCCATTCCAAGTGCGAAAAGTGGCAGCAGCGCTCCAGCAACGAAGGCACTAATTGTTCCAACAACGCCATAAATCCAATCAGGGCCAAGCATGGAATACAGTCTTTTCAGTGAAACAGGTTTTGGCCTAATAGGCTCCATTGCATCAACACCAGCATGACTGAATGAGCCGTTTTCAGAACGAAAACTTTCAGTAAAGCTTGTCCTTGTGTAGGATAATCCTCCTGAATACTGTCTAGAAAGGGAAGTCCAAGGGGAAAATTGAGAAAACGGACTCTTTCGAGGGCAGAAACTAAAAGTTTTCGTTTGGGACAAACAAACGATCATAATTTACTAACGGTCCCGTGAGTTTCAGAATGTTAATGAAATACCTGAGTGGCCATCCCAAGGGAGGACTGACAGAGGAGTGGCATTGCACAGAAGCTGCCTCCTGAAGGTGAACAAGTGATGAATATGCACTATTTGGATTTGAGATGAGCTTTTCATGGCTGCCGATTTCCACTATCTTCCCTTCCTGAACAACAGCAGTCACATCTGCATTCCTAATGGTTGAAAGACGATGAGCCACAATTATAGCAGTTCTTCCCACCATGGCGTGATCAAGTGCCTCTTGAACACTTTTCTCTGACTCAGCATCTAGGGCACTTGTAGCTTCATCTAGTAAGAGAATTGATGGATTCTTAATTATTGCTCGTGATATTGCAATCCTTTGTTTTTGCCCTCCTGATAGTTGTATTCCCCTCTCACCAACCTGCAAGTATAAGATCATTCCACTATGCATGATGCTGCAATTTTTGAAGACTTTTTCCTTTGACTTGAACCGGAGTTTTTAAGGAATTTCGAATTTAGAATGACAACATGCATGTCTGTGAGTCTAGGTATAGTACTCCGATGATTGTGAGCAATGATAAATTAGTACCTGAGTTTCCAATCCATCAGGGAGGTTGTCGATAAAAGACATAGCTTCTGAAAGTTTAGCAGCACTTATAACTTCATCAAGGGTGGCATCACTTTTTCCATAGAGAATGTTCTCTCTAATACTTGTTGCGAAAAGGGCAGGCTCCTGGCTTACTAGTCCAATTTGTTGCCTTAGCCACTTGAGGTCAAGGTCCGTGATATCATTCCCATCTAACAGTATCTTTCCGGATAGAGGCTCATAGAAGCGTTCAATCAAAGATATAACGGTACTCTTTCCGGATCCACTTCCTCCAACAAGAGCTACAATCTTCCCAGAAGGAATATCAAGACAGAATTTATCAAAAATAATTACATCAGGACGCGATGGGTAGCTAAAACATACGCCCTTGAATTCAATGTGACCCTCCAATTTTCCTAGTTTTTGGCCTGTTTTTGAGCTTGATTTGCTTGTTTTGTTCCTCTCAATCATCTCAAAAATGGGGTAAGCTGCTGCCCTGGCTCGGACAAATGCAGAAATATCTGGTGCTGCCATTCCCAGGGACCTGGAAAGCAATGCAGGCCGATAATTACAGCGTAAATTAGACGTGGGATGGGAAAAAAAAAAAAAAAAAGCATAGTAGAATTGTGCATATGATTAGAGTGGTATGGATAATGCATGCAAGCATCAACTAAACATAAAATCATATTTTGTTTTTAGCTTCTTGTATGGTTTGCATTAAAATCTATTGCCCTGTAATTTGGACGCAATGTTGTCTGCCTAGGACAACCTACCAACCTTTCCATTTTTTGAGTTTCACAAAAAATAAAAAATGAAAAAATCCAACGGACTAAAAAAAAAAAAAAACTGCCACTCTGCAAGTGTTATACTTCACGGGTTGTCATTTGTGGGGAAAAATATCATATTTAAAGCTGTATAATTCAATTGATAAAAACTTATTTTAAGCAAAGATGCCTAGAAGCAATGTAGAACACAATGTGCTTAAATGATTTTGATGTTAAACAAAGTAGAACGACTCGATTTCCGTGAAATAAGGTAGATTTCATGCCATGACCAAATGGCAACAGCAAAGACTTACACGCCAGCAATGAGGACGTTGAGCATGGTGGTGAAGGAGTCACCGCCATTGGCAATGTTCTTATGAACAACTATGCTAGTATACCAAACAAGTAATGCCCATGAGAGGAAAACAATACTCTGCAGGGTTCCCATTCCTAGACCCTTCGCCAAACCAGCTTTTTTTCCGTGCTTGTATGCATCCCTTAGAGCTTCTTTATATGATCTCACTGCCCTCTCTTCTCCTGTAAATGATTGTACTGTTCTAATATTGCCAATTACCTGAAAATTAGATCACATCATAAACTGTGAGAGAAAAAGAATCAATGTTCCATCCCTTACTTCGAATTTTAGCTGTAAGATAGAACATTTCTGTAATTAATTCGTCATTTGTTTTTGTTTGATTTTTGATGTTTCTTTTAATTAGTATCTTACCTTAAAATCAAACCCAGTAAGGGTACATCAATTGTCTGAACCAAATCCAAGATATATTTTTTTATTCCATATAACCCTAGCAAACTCTTATTCACTTGCCAATTTTTTTGTTTATATTATTTTGTTTTCTTATTGCAGCAAAAAGATTACCTCCTGAACGATTTGGCCAGCCTCGACATAAGATTTGCGAACATTAATAATAAGTCCAATTGTTATATATGCATAGATGCCACCAGCAAGACCGATTAAAGGGAGCATAGACAATGTCACCAAACTGATTTGCCATACCCTAAAAAACCCAATCGCAAAGCCAACTAGAAATCGGCTAATATAGTGCATCAATTTCCCCACCTGCATCACTCAACACCATTCAAGCAGGTTATAAACCAACGAAACAGAACCCAATAAATGTAGAAACATCAAATATTGTGCCAAAATAAGTGTGATTTGAGAAGCTTAATTCACACACACATACTGAGTTTGCCAGGTTACACAAATGATTGCATGGTACAGATTTAGGAACCCATTATAGCAGCCAGCTATACATGGACCGGACATCAATGATTCGCATGAACCAGTTACGTGTAATATAGTTTTCTGACATTTGCACGGCCAGTGTATATATATATATATACACACACTATGAGTTATGGTTGATAAGGATATAGCACTGTCATGTATATCTCTTCCGAAACAGGCGTATATCTCTCTCTGGAAACCTTGGAAGCTGTGTATAGATGTAACTCTCTGTAAACAATATGTGTCTGTAAATAGAAGTCTCTGTAAATAATGTCTGTTTCTGTATCCCTATAAGTACTGAACTCTAATAAACGGTATTTTTATCTTTGGATCATAATAACTCTTTCATGGTATCAGAGCATCATGAGATTTAAAAACCCAGTTCGATCCAAAATTACAAAGCTTTTCTTGTTCCATGGCTGAACAAGCTACTATCCAACAACAGTCTCTTCCACACGACCAAACAGTTGTCCCTCACCAAACACAGAAGCCTGCACCTGCACCCTACCCTAATGTCACTTCCCATTTATCCATCAAGCTAACTACGACCAATTACCTTCTCTGGAAAACATAGCTTCTACTACTGTTACGTGGGTGCAAGCTTCCTCATCACATTGATGGCAGCCTTCCCGCCTTTGCTGCAATAGGCCCAGCCTATGATGATTGGTATACACATGATCAAATTGTTCTTAGCTGGATTGTAAGCTCCCTCTCTGCTAACCTTGTTACACATTTGATAGGAATAACCACAGCTCGTGAGGCTTGGGACAAACTTGTAACCATTTATGCCTCTGGTTCTCGAACACGTCAACTGCGCACAAAGCATGATTGAATTATCACAACAGAATAATGACATTTCGACTTACATGCAGCGTGCCAAGGAACTTTTTGATTGTCTTGCTGCGCTGCAGCACCCTATCCTAGAAGATGATCTCGTTGATTATATCCTACGAGGCCCAGTCCCTGCGTACTGTCCATTTATGTGCAACATTGAAGCCAGGCTTGCACCAGTTACATACAATGATCTATTTTCCTTGCTTCTCAATGAAGAAGTGTAGTTGGCATGACATGAACGTTCATCAGAGATAGTGCCACCAACAGCATAATTCTCTGCTTGTGGGTTCAATCCTTCTTGTGGACGAGCACGTTACCATGGCAAAGGCAAAAGCAATGGGTATGGGAGATCTCAGTTCATATCTCATACTACTGATAGGAGCAGTTCTGCCTAGCAAATATGCTCTAATTGCAAGAGCATTGGACACAATGCTAGCCAGTGTCCGTCACCCAAACAACACTATGACAGATGCGCCTTCAATAACTCACGCAAACATGAGTCTAACTTCGCATCCAAATATTCTAGCCATAAAGCATCTCAATCATCGGTTGTTGACATCGAAGAAACGCACCATTTAATGACCGATATGAATAACGTAGGCATCCATTCTGAGGACAACGATCTAGAGAAAGTAACAATTAGCAATGGTACAACTCTTCCTACTACATGCACTAGCTTATCTGTCTTTTCCATTAATAACACACAATTTTTACTTGACAATATTTTCATTGTTCCACAAGCTTCTAACAATTTACTGTTAGTTAGTGCGTTTACCAAATATAATAATGTTTCTCTTGAATTCTTACCTACTTGTTTTTTGGTAAAGGATATCCAGACAAAGTGCTTTCACCATAGTTCTTGTTGGAAAACCCCCAAACAAAATGGATGTGCTTAGCAAAAACACTAGCACATCATTGAAACATGTCGTGCTTTACTTCACCATGCTTCGTTTTCCCTAAAATTTTAAGAACATGCCTTTACTGCTGTAATTTATTCCATTAATCATTTACCCACCCCATGATTAGCACACAAAAGCCCCTTTGAAATTCTATTTCAACAATTACAAAATTATGAAATGCTTCATGTTTTTTGGTGCTTAAGCTAACCCTCGTTACATCCTTACACCAAAAATAAGTTAGAACCCTAGTCTCATAGTTATGTTTTCCTTGGGTATGGTACATTGCATAAAGGGTTTAACTATCTTGATCTAGTCACCAATAAAATTTATATTTCACGTCATATTTTATTTGATGAATAGGTTTTCTCGTATTAGGCTAAAATGAGCAAAACTTCGATGTCTCTGACTCCCAAGCTGTTGTCACGCTAAACCCACCTACTCCAATTCTTTTGCCCACACCTACTGCTCCTTGCCAATCCATTACTTCTCTAGTAAGCCCAACTGACTAACAGCCCATCACTCAGCCTGCACTTATTGCTCCTTGTCATCCTATTGCTTTACCACTAAGTCCTATTGTCCAGGCAACCCATACACATGCCTTCTCCCCCAACTCTAGTAGCCACTCTCTCCCCAACCCAAAGTGCTAACAATTTGGGCCATATGCTCATAAGCCCAACCTAAGAACAAACAACTAAAACCCAAAAAACCAAAGAAAACCATACAACCTATGAATACCCACCCATTCATTTGGAAATTGACTTCATTAGTTATCCTATCTTTCCCAATCCTGTAAAAACCAGCAGCCCTCTCACCCTTTGAAAAAACGTTCACAAACTAGCCAAAGCAAACCCAAAACATTTCATATCCATATCCCATCTGAACCATCCAGTTACAACACTACTATAAAGAACCCAACCTAGCACCAAATAATAGATAAAGAGATGTTTGCATTATAATCAAATGAAACTTGGACTCTAGCATCAAATATTATGGAAAACCAGTGGGTTTATTGAATCAAGAGGCTGCAAGATGGGATAATTGATTGGTTTAAGGCACGCCTTGTTGCCAAAGCTGTTACCAACGCCCAAGTATCAACTTTAATGATACATTTCAACAGTAAGATTGGTGTTGTCTCTAGCAATCTCGAATGGATGGATAATGTAGCAATTGGATGTCTCCAATGCATTCTTGCGTGGTAATCTGGAGGAGCTAGTCTATATGGAGCAGCCACAGGGCTATGTGGACTCCAAATTTCCAACCCATGTTTGTGCCTTGAAAAAATTACTCTATGTCCTCAAACAGGCACCTAGAGCTTGGCATCAATATCTAACAAATGAACTCGTCCACCTTAGGTTTAAGAGATCTCAATCTGATACCTCCCTCTTCATATACAAAAGAGGTACAGACACTATTTATTACCTCATCTATGTGGATGACATACTTGTCACTGGCAACACTAGTAGTCTTATTCAATATTTCAAGACACGACTTCAGCAACAATTTGCAATTAAAGACTTAGGCAAGCTAGCCTACTTTCTAGGCATTGAGGCCTATTGGTGCAAGAGAGGATTGATTCTAACTTAGTCCAAATACATCAAGACATTCTTCGAAAGGCGAATATGCATGAGGCGAGTTCAATTTCATTGCCTGCATATGCCTCTATAAAATTGATGAATTTAAGGACATTGTTACTAACCCAACGTTGTTTCACAGCATTGTAAGAAGGTTCCAGTATCTTGTCTTGGCACGACCAGATATCTCCTATACCATAAATAAAGTGGCACAGTTTATACATGCTCTTACAAATGATCACTGGTCAACTATTAAGAGGATCTTATGTTATTTAGGTTCCACGCTTGATCATGGTTTACATTTCAGGCTTGCATCTACATAGGCCTTAAATGCATATACCGATGCGGACTAAGTGGTGATGTGAATGACCGAAAGAGTACTACAAGGTATGCTATTTATCTAAGTGGCAATCTTATGTCCTAGCGCTTAAAGAAGTAGAGAACATTTGCATGATCATTCATAGATGTAGATTATTATGCCTTAGCTACAACAGCGTCTGAGGCCACTTGGATTCAATCCCTCTTAAAAGGAAATAGGAATTACCATTCCTGTGGCACCTGGCATTTGGTGCGACAATATCTCTATCACCTATGTTACTGCAAATCCTGTATTTCATGCTCGGTTGAAACACTTGAAGATTGATTTTCACTTTGTCAAAGACAAGATGAAGAAGAAAGAGCTAACAATGAGCTTTATTTTCACCAATGATCAAATTACAGATGTTCTGACAAAAGCTTTATCCAAACAACAATTTCTTCTATTATGAGATAAGCTGACACTGCATTCCGCAACTCAGCTTGAAAGAGGATGACAAGGATATAGCATTGTCATGTGTATCTCTCCCGTAACATGTGTATATCTCTATCCGAAAATCTTAGAAGTTGTGTATAGATATAACTCTTTGTAAACAATGTCTCTGTAAACAATATGTTTGTCTTTGTATCTCTATAAGTACTGAACTCTAATAAACAGTATTTTATCTTTGTATCTCTATAATCACTGAACTCTAATAACCAATATTTTATCTTTAGATCACAAATAACTCTCTCAGTCGTAACAAATTTTAAAAGTGTCGATGCTGCTTTCCTGTTTTCTAAATGCACCTTGAAAGTACTTGAAAGTTTGAAACTACGTATTCCTATAATAAATCGACCCAGAAAATGTAAATCTTTTCTCTCTGTTTTTCTTTTTTCTTTGAACTGAAAAAATCCCCTTCTCTTCGTTGAGGAGCATCACAGGGTCCTACCAGCTCTCGAATACACTGGAACTCCACAAACTATGTTCCTTTCATAAAATGCGTTGTTGGTACATTCTTTAACAGAAACAACCCAACCGAGCCCCGGTAAGGAGTCATTAATTTATCCATAGAATTAATAGTACTCCTCATATCTTAAGTTTATAAGAGCCATTTCCCCCCGTAAGGAGACTAGTACATAGTATCCTAGATGCACCTGCATTGGGTGTATTTTACAAGTTACCATATTGAATAAAGAAATCTAATTAGAACATGAGAAATCATTAGATACAGCCCGAGTTATACCTTTTTTTCTAATTTGAAAGGTGAAGGTCATCGATAATTTGGGGTTAAATTCACTATATGGGTTTTTCCGGTTTTAAAAATTGGTCAAATCAGTCCTTTTCCTTTTCCTTTAACTTTGGACAAGTCACTCCTCGCCCTCTGAATCTATGGTCACATGTGGTTTTTTCATCCAATTATATGTGTACATTTGGCAACAGGTTAGTACAGGAATGCTTCTCCAATGCTGAGTTATGTAGCTCAATCAATTAAATGTTTACACGTAAAGTAAAGTGGTTATAAAAAGTTTTAGTTAAAATATTATTTTTTTATTCGGATAAAAAACCCATGTTTTCTACAAAAATAATTTTTTTTTCATACTGTGACAAATCGAAAAAAAGAAGGTCATCTTACCAAAACTGAAAGTACAAGAATTAATTTAATCAATTTTCAAAACTCGAGGGACTATGTGATAAATGATAAATTTATTCAATAAATTTATCATTTAATTTATTCAATAAATTTGTGATGGGATCGCATGCTCTCTGATCCCATCAACTTGGTGTTATATGAATTGAAAGAGTAGATAACTAATGTACCAACTGACCAAAAAACGAAAACAAAATAGAAGAACTAAATCATAGCCAATTCCACAGTCAACAGGACAGTAAAAGCATATACCAAACAACCTCAACGACCCAACCGACTTATAAATGATACACATGTACGGAGGGGCGACCTTAACATATACGTCCTCCATCCGTCTACAACTTATAATAAATGCTACAAGTTAATACTAAGCAACACGTATACTAAATTCAGACGACAAAAATATTGGGCACCGTTACATAAAAGAAGGTGTCGGAAGCACAGACCATTGTGCCCAGAAAATAAATTTGCTTCTAATTTTTTATTTTTATTTAAGTTTAATCTTATATTTTATCTATTATGATCAATTTTTTTAATTTTTTAGATGCATTTCATTTTCATATCCTGTGATGGTTAAATACTAAAATCATCTGATCAAATGATTCATAATTGTACTATATGGCAAGAAAAATTAAATTTCATTTAAAATTAAAAAAAAAACTACAATTTTAAAATCCAATCTTTGATTTTATTTTATTTGAGTGCATAATTTTTTATTTTATTTATTTGTGTAATTAATTTTTTATTTTAATTTTTTTATGTGAATGCATTTAGCTACCTGAGATTATTAATAACAAACTCGATCGATATGAATTAATACATACATTAACATGTAGCAAAAAATCTCATTAAAAATTATTGAGAAAAGCAACACAAATATGTGTGCGTAAAGAAAGGTGGTAGAGATTAAAAAAGAAAAAAAAAAGGCCAAATAGAAACAATAAAAAAAAATTGAAAATGATTTTAATATTGCATTGCTCAACATTCTAATAAGTTCTCAAAAATTATTTGTTTTGAAGATATTTTTCATCATCCATCTGATTTGGGGACAAATAGCTCAAAAATTATATCATTTTCTTCA